CCAAAGTTCAGACCAGCGAACGGGGCCAGTCTCCAACTGTCATGAATCGGTTAACAGAGGCGGCCATCATAAGAAGTTCGTCTGTAACAATAGCCATTAACAAAGGCAGACGTTCTAATAAGGGTGGATCTATAAAATTCGACGTTAATAATTAACGCATGTGGGCATCTTAATAGTTACATCTAAATAGAATTCATAACTTTTTCATACGACGTTGGATGACAACAAACTTTATATCAAAATTATAGCCCTCCACACGACCTACAACTATATAGTATATAAGTTTTTTTATTTGGAACTATTTAGAGTCCCAAAATATTTTTTGTCAGAGGTTTTGAAATTTTATTTTAAAACTTTTCAAAAAAACATTGGATGTGGACATGGTCTATATCAAAGTCTGTGGCTACAATCTTGAACTTTGTAGTTGAAAAGTTTTTGAATTGAAGTTATTTAGAGGACCAAATATTTGTTTTAAATTCATTGATATTGAAATCCAAAATTTATAATGTCCAAACGACCTTGAATAATCACATGGTTAGTACCAAAGTTGCAGCAGTCGATCCAATCAACAAGCTATTTGTTCAAAAGTTTTCTATTTGAAGTTATTCAGAGTCTCAAATATTTGTTTTAAATTGACATATTTCTATATTCAATTTTTTTTTTTGAAATTTTCAAACAATCTCGGATGGGGACTTATCTTATACCAAAGTTATAGTGCTTGATACGATTTAAAACTTTGTAGTTAAAATGTTTTTCAATTAAAATCATTTAGGGGAAGAAATATTCGAAACAAAGTTACGAAATGTTGATATAAAAAGATGGGATAGCTATCTATTTATACTCACAAATGACTGTAGGGCTGGCTCTAGGATTTGGAGGACCTGTTGGAATTGAGGGATCCCAACGGGAAGGAATGAGGGGGCCCAGGAAAATGAATGGAAGGAACGAGCAAAGGCAATGGTCCTCAACCGAGTGGCTTCACTCACTCCGACACAATTACTGTGACAATAGTTCCTTGGGTCGTGTGCCAACTGATCTATCTTTCTTGGGGCTCAAGTCCCCCGTTTATTCGGTACGGCTATACATGTTCACAAGTACACAAATGCCCCTTGCCTGCTACAGATATTCTGGCATATTCCCCCTTTTACGGAGTACACCAACGCCGAGGGATTTAGCGACATTTACATACACAACAACCTTCTCTATTGGGCCCTTGTCGAGTCAAAACCCTAGGCCCATCAAGTAGTCAAGCCTGATTTGTGGGCCTCCGCTGCAAGGGCTTCCTTGTCCAGTAATTGGCGGACCTGTTGCCTATTGTCTCTAGAAGAAACGAAGATGGGCTTAGCCTGCTGGTTTCTCCCGAGGCTTCTTGGGATCCTCAGGATTTCAACACGAAGGCTCACCCTGGAAGTCTTTGCTAAAGACTCACCTAGCCTTCATCTGTCACTCCGTCGCTTTGGCTTGCACGGGTCCTTTGCCGAAGGTCCGCCTTGCCTTCGCCGTTAGCTTGCCGCTCGGCTCACGTGGGTCCCCACTGAACCTTCTCCTTGCCTTCGTCGCCGGCCTGTGGCTCGACTCATGCAGGTCCTCACCGAAGGACTATCTTGCCTTCGTCGGCGCTCCTAGATTCACGACACCTGCATGGCATTTGTTAGCCGTGGTTAGCAAACCCTTAGGCCAGAGGCTTCGCTCCCCAACAGTTCCTTCTTCGAGGGTGAGGTTTGACATAGGTGAGCCTGATCCTCAAATCTTGACTCTTGCCTTCGAGTCCGAGGGTTCTCTTAGCACCTCCCTCTCCGGGCTCTCTTGTGTCATACTTGCGCCGCGTTCACTTTTGAAGTGGTTGGTTTCCTTAGTGTTTTACTGATGAAACAAATGGACAGGAGTTTGACCGTGACAAGGTGGAAGTTGGACCGTTAGTTGGGGTACTGTTTAAAGGTATTTGGACGGTAGATCGGAGGCACCCCTTGTCGCATTCCCTGCGGTTATAGATCCACCTTTTTTGTTTCTGCCTTTGTTTTTAGAGATCCTTCATCGCGTTTACTGGAAGTGTCTACATTTTGTGGCTGTGGTCCTTGGTCTAGGCTTTCTAACGTGAAGGTTCAGGAGTGGAATTTGTATTTCGAGCAATCCTTGATGGCGAGTGCGAGCGCTCAACATTTGGAAGAGCTCTGAGCGATGTTGAGGCCAGCCCTAAGGATCTAATCAAAGGCGGTAGCAAGACTCGCTAAGGCAAGGTTGAGTTTGGTCCTTCGCTCACCTTTGAGGCGGATGTGAAGAAGTATGCTGAGCTTGGATGGTTTGCCGAAGGCCAGGCTATAGCTCCGAAGGGTGAGTCTGTGCCTACGTGACTTCTTTATTGTGGCCCTGCGCTTGCCATGGGTAAGGTTTGTGAAGGATGTGCTGGAGGCCTTGTCTGTGCAACTGCATCAGTTGACTCCAAATGGGATTTTGACTTTGGCAAAGTTCTATTGGGCAAGCCTCACCTTCAATGTCAGATGCTGATATTGACTGCTTTTGCGCGCATTATGAGCTTCAGCGTCAGCTGAAGCGGAACACGGTCTAAGGCCTGACGAAGGAGGAGCAGTTTGCTATTTGTACCTTTTATGCCCAAGTGGACTTTCGAAGGGCCAGGAAAAGGTATTTTATTGCTTATGCTCAGCGTAATCGCTGGAGCAACGATTGGTACCGCTACTGGTTCTATGTCAGGACTCCAAGATTTACCATTAAGGAAGATAATGGTGAAGATGCCTATCGGTTCCCTCCTGCATCGAAGATGGACGAGATGAACCCTTAACTCGGGTTGCGGCTGAGGAGACCGATAGAAGGGAGGCTTGCGAGATGGCCTTCGAGAATCCAGCAGACTGTCCACCATGACGGAGGTTCTTGACATTCTAAACGGCGACAAAGAGTTGGCAGCAGCCCAAAAAACAAATGCTCAGTAGACTCGAGATCAAGAGATGAGACCCCAAATGAATGTACGTAGATGATGGGTTGTCTTTTGCTGACACCGGTTTGGACTTTGTGTATTTTTGCTTTCCACCACATATTTTCCCAGAAAGTACTATTTCCATCCAGTTTAAACTATATATGGGATATGGTCTGTGTTTCCAGTTCTGTAATTGAGACTGAGCAAACCCTTTTTATTTAAGTTGTGACTTAGGAATAACCACTCTGACACCCGGAAAAACAGTACTTGTAAGTTTTCAGCTTGACCACTTCAATTTCTCTTGTGTGTTATATAGAAGATCTGTAGATGATCAGCTGCATCCTACTTATTATATAATGAGTATACATCGCACATCTTTTTTTTTTTTGAGCAATGAGTATATATCGCACATACCCATTGGCCTGCTGTTCTCACTACGGGGGCCGACGTGGCCCATGGGCCAGCAATCACATTTGTTACTGAACTGTAGGCCCACGGGATGAAGACCCATACCAACGGAACGGCTGTTATCCACCTCCGTGTCTCGTCTCCGCGGCTCTGGTAGGCTTAGGTGCTTAGCCATGGCCATGACGCAGCTAAAATTTTTGGATCGTGCCGTGTCTAGACTCTAGAGACCTTGTGTCTAAAAATTTTAGTCGACTCTATTTTCTCCTATGCGGTTGCACTATTTTTAACCACCGTGTCTAGGGGTTTAAGCCATATCGGAGAAATTACCATTTCTAAATAAAAATGATATGTTTTCGACCTCTACCGGGTCTGCCGGCTCCATGGCTGCATTCTCTGTTCTCTTGTTCCACGCCTCAATCCAGCATCCCAGTGGGCAAATGCGTCGTGTGGAAACCAGACAGCGGCAATGCAAAAAGGCACCATGAGGCAATGCAAGCAACACATAAAGCCTCCTCAAACTTTCGCACAACATAAATATAAATACGTTCCAAGCTTATTAGAATGTACGAACAACCACAGAAAAGGTCGAGAAACTAAACTAATAATACAAGCCAGCAGTTCAGCATGGAGAAAAATGTTGCAGCAAGTTCTAATAGCAGCGGAGTACACTGAAACTTTGATACAGCATATTTATTCGAATAGAAAATAGATCGGGTGAACATAAGAGCCGGCACAGTCTGGCTCGCAGTCGAGTGAACTTGTGTCGATGGGCTGACGTGGACTCTGAAGCATTGAAGCCGACACCATTTGAGCTAATCTTCTGTACACCATTTGAGCTAATCTTCTGTACATATTACGGTTCAAGAAGAAACTTGGATCAGGAAAACTAATCTACGAGAGAAAGCAAGTTCGTCAATAATTCTACTTAATCTTCTGTACATATTACGCTTACAACCATTAATTATCCGATGACAAAAGTGCTTATTTCGTAGTAAATAATCATAGAAGGACGTGTCACAGACTCACAGGTGGACAGTGGAAAACAGAGTATCCACTGATGGCCAGAAACAGAGTTGGTGCAGGCACTAGGAACGGTCCAGTGACTACACCTACGTCCGCTGTATAACGGATTCAATGAAAAATCGGTATCTGCTTAAATACGTTTGGTAGTTTCATGCATACATGTCGGCATAAAGTTATTTGCTTATTAGAACTCGCCCTTCCGAAACAAAAATGTAATTCATACATCGACATAGATGTCGGCATGCATGTATTTGCTTATTGGAAATGCGACGGTCCATTCTATGTAGTCAGGACTCGGGAATCATAAAGTTATTTGTTTGACGGAAATTAGGTTAACACAATTTCAAAATCCGTGAACTCCCAAAAACTCAGAAGCACTCGAATGGCTGACACGCACGAGCAGCAACAGTGACACCATCAGCTAGGATAGAACAGAACAGGGTGGAGAGAGTACTTACATACACTGTAGGCTTGCAGATTCAAATTCGTATCTCTTTAAGACACATTATCGTCTTCCAGCTGAAAATTCTCATAAAGCTAATAATTAATTAAGTAGAGACAAGCAAGTGTTGACAAGATAGAAACAAAAAATGAGATATTAATTTGATCGGAACTACAAAATTCTCGTCGTACCTGATTATTATCGTAATAAATGGAGACAGAACTGTAACGTGGGATGGTTGGGATGGACGTTGCATGCGTCTCTTAGTGCAGCCAACACAGCATCGCTCTCCGCAACAGGCACGTCTTCATGGGCGATCCGCCCTTTCAGTTCCCGAAGGGAAGGCAGGTACTCCAAGCCAATATTCTCATAGTAGTCACTGTAGTTATATTTTAGGGCCCGCAAATGGACATTAAAATAAAGCACTTGAAGATTTGGCATCACGCCAGATGGTACAACTTTTCTGGATTTGTTGCCTTTTCTAGAGGCAAAGGGCATAGCATCCTCTCCATTCCACATATGCAATGAAATGCTAGTGTCCCCCTCGTTGGCCTGCTCAAACTGCACCATTGCATTGGTAACGAAGTGCGCCAACTTTTGGAAGAAGCTGCGATCACCGGCGTTAATATTGCTTGCTGTTACCGTGGACTCTGTTGTCAGGTCGAGATAATAGAGCGCTGGTAACCTAGCAAGGAGTTTCAGATCCTGCTCATCCATAGTAATCACAAACAGCTGCAAGTGGGCCAGGATGGGAAGAGCTGATGGATTAATGCATGACGGCAATTTGGAAAATCTAATTGCATGCCATCCCAAATAATGGAGAGGTCGTGGGAGCACAAAGCCTGCTGCTTCCCACATGGCTGTATCCGCAAGCCAAGGTGAATCGTACACATCTATATGCTGGAGCTTCTGCATATTGCTTAGAGACTTCACAAAATCTCTCTGCATGCTCTGGTCCGCCCCATCATAAGTGGCAAATTCAAGCACCCTTAGTTCTCGCAGGCTGTCAAGCTCTTTCAAAAATTTCAACGCCTTGTCACTGCAACCTTTTATTATTCTTAGCTCCTCCAGGGAAACCAGCTTCCCAATCCCATCCGGTACCTTTTTGTCAGCACATAGCCGGACCAGCTCTGTTAGGTGCACAATGCTTGCTGGCAATGTTCCCTCCACATCGAGTGTTTGCAGTAACTTTAGATTCCCTAGTTGTATGGGGAGCTCAGGGGAACTACCGTTGAATCTTATCCTAAGGTACCTCAAGTGAAGTAAATCACCAAGATGCTCAAGGTGGCAACCTTTCTCAAAGCTGCAGTGTACTATGTCCAGCACGCGCAAAAGTTTAAATCTCAAAAACTGGTCCCGGCTATCAATAAAACACTTGAATGCGGTATATGACCTCACTTTTGGCATCCCAAAGAACCATTGTGTCGTAATTAATGTGCTTGGCTACTCTGTTTTGGTTGGCTAACCGACGAACACCGCTTGGTGCAAAAGCGTTCCTTCAACATTATCACCTAATATAGCAATAAAGTTTTCATCGATGAAAGCATACGCATCAGATCAAGAACCATATCATGAACACGGCAGCTTTCTACTCTGCCATTCCACCCATTCTCCACTGGCTGGATCAAGCTTCTATTAATGAGACCATTGAAGTATCTTTCTCCAAGCTCAAATAATCTTGTTCCCTGTTTCCCATCAATAAATCCTTCAGCTATCCACTTCCATATCAAAGAATCCTTTTGGATCCTATAATCTTCTGGATATGTACTTAGATATAGTAAGCATGTCCTCAAATGTGGAGGCAGATCATAGTAGCTAAATGAAAGTATTGTCATAGTATCTTCACTTTCCTCATTATCGGTAGTATGAAAACCAATAGAGTTGTAGACCATTGACCATTCACATTCGGTTTACCACCAACAAACTAGCCATTGTGATGATTGCTAATGGTATACCAAAGACATTTCTTTAGAATTTTCTCGAAATGTCATCTGGATGGTTATCAAGGAACTTTTGGTCTGCTCTAGATAACCTTGTATAAAATAATTTCATGGAGTCATCATAGGAAAGTTGTTTCTGCTTGTAAACCTCACCAGATGCTTTGGCAACATCAACATTTCGAGTAGTTGTGATTACTTTACTTCCATGATTATTCTCAACAAGTGCTAGTTTGATTGCTTCCCAAGTGCGTACCTCCCATACATCATCAATAACAATAAAATACCTATCCACACCAAAGTAGAAGAACCATTGGTTAATAAAGTTTGGAGCTTCTGCAGAAGCAAGAAATTTGCTAAGATTAAAGGAAGTCAGCATGACACATAAAACAAAAGATCACGTTAGTAAAAATAAAACACATGACGGAAGTTGCGATGGTTAATGGTCACGGATAATTTCCTTTGCGGTTCTAGTATTTTCCTTTGCGTTTTTTTAGCACCCAAGGTAATTCGGGATTCTAGTAGTGATATTTATAGAAACTACACACCAAGTGGCCTATTTGAAGAAAACTTCATATTTAAGGACACTTTATTACACAGAACTTACTCATCTATGGCCATGTTGCAAACATAGGCAACCCTAAAACGTTGTTTTTCCTATAATTTATAGTTTCAGAAGGAACACGTTTTCAAAATCTAAGCTCGTAAAAATGTTTATGAATTTACTTAATTAAACTATGATGCTTAGAAGTGCTAAATGCATTGTCCTTTTTTATAGCTAGTGAAGTAGTCTAAAAGCTGCATACTTAAAAAAAGAGCACTCAGGGCATGGAGTGGAGAAAATCAATCTCAAGTAGTCTCGCATAAATGATGTGGAGATAGCATTTTTAGGATAACATATGACATAGTGTAGCATCGACTAACTGAGGTGCAATATCTTAAAAGCACAGGCTAAATACAATTTACAATTGGATGTCTGTGCTACCTCTTTTTGTTCAGGAATTCTCGGAGTTGGTGAATGAGGAGCTCGACGCCTCTCTCAGTGTTGTGAATGTCCTTATGGTTTTCACTGTCAAGATGAAAGAGAATATCCTTGAAAACTTTTACCAAGTCATGATCCCGACCGATTGAAACGAAAGCCCCGCAGTCGTACTGCGACTTAAGCTTGTCATACACCGCTCTGGCAAGAGTGGTTTTACCCAATCCTCCAACTCCCACAACTGAAACCATCTTCATCTTCTTATCAGAGGCATCATGATCCTGTTGGGATGTATTCAGCATAGACATGAGCTCGTCGCTTGACTTGTCGACGCCAATAAGTTGTGTCACTTCTTTGTACATAGCTTTAAGGCGGGGATCAATAGTTGACGTTGCTGCGATAGTTGACGTTGCTGCGAGTGGCTTGCACATAATCTCATCAAGTTTGTACTTCTGACGATTGTTGGCTACCTCCTCGAGACGCTTTGTTATGTCCATGATCTTTGCTGCAATATCACGGCGAGCCTTGGCCTTGCTGAACAGCTCACCCAGCTTCGTCATGGCAAGTTTGAGGCTGCTGGAGTCGGAGTTGTTCTTTCCGCCGTCGACCCGAACGAGGAAGGTGTCGAGGACGTCCTCCATGTCGTAGGATGCCTCCCTGACCTCGTGCGCCCACAACTTGACCTGCTCGTCGAGCTGGTCCCATGGCACATCTGAGACCTTGTGGAGGAAAGGGTAGATGCTGTCCAGCTCGCGGGAAAGCGACTCCACTTGCTTCCTCACACCCTTCTGGAGCTTGTACTCACCATGGAGCAGCTGAAGAAGCTTGGGGCCGAGGCTTCCCAGCGCCCCCGTCACCACACTCATGCTTCTTGATCTCTTGGTTGGTTCAGACCTTTGCGTAGCGATTTCGTAGTGCTACTGCGGTGGTGGCTGGGCGTAGAGAGCTCACACCTTCGCTGATCCAGTCTCTAGACCAACCTTTGCTCACACTACCGAGTTAAAACTCATTGGCATCTGAGAGGCTGAGACTGCAGGTGTCTTTAGAGATGGCACTGATAAGTGATGAGCACAACATATGCTGCTCCGCCGTGAGTGGGGGCCGACGACTTGACTTGCTGGCCTGCGCGGACCTCTGCCCCTGTCCTCTGTTATTGCCTTCAGTTTAGATCTGAGTGCAGGGGCATGCTGGGCCATGACAAACTAGTATGTGCGTTTATACGCTTTTCTCAAGCTGATCCATCGCAGTGGATCTCGTTCACACGAAAGCCAGTGCTGGTTGCCCCTCCTAAATTTTAATCGATGTCTCATCGAATGTTTGACACATACATAGAGTATTAAATATAGACTAATTATGAAATTAATTGTATAGTTTGCGACTAATTTGCGAGACGAATCTCTTAAACCTAATTAGTCCATGATTTGACAATGCGATGCTACAGTAAACATGTGCTGATGACGGATTAATTAGGCTTAAAAAATCGTCTCGTAGAGTACTGACGGATTATATAATTTGTTTTTTTATTAGTATCCGAACACCCCATGTAACATCCTCCCGACACACCTTCTAAATTTTAGTCACCGGATCCAAACACCACCTAAGTCGGATAGAACACTGTTTAGGAGGAGACTTCACCATCAGACTGAATAAATTCAGTCCCGTGAATGCTCATCACACATTCACACATCGAAGTTTCTATCATCGTCAGCACTATGCCAACAATATTAAGCCCTGCACTGCAACTTGTGTTCCGCAGCATTTATATACTTGAATGAGCAGCCACTGCGCGCTGTCAGTAACTTTTTTAGTATGCACTTTCTCCAGCTGAAAGAAGTGCAGGTCTCATATTTTGATACGTGAAACAATTTCAAGTTTAACCAAATATATAAAAATACTATTTTTTATACCAAATAAGCGTCATTAGCTTAACCATGTCACCCAATACTCATCCGTAAACAGATTGCTCTAGCCTGGGTCGCACCCGCGCCTGGCTCATGGCCGACGGACCGTGCCCGCGTCCCGCGCCAGCATGTAGTGCCCGCGGCCGGATCTGTGACTCATCACACACACATGGACACAACTCCACCATGTGTTCACAAGCCTGAAACGTCTTACCGTAGCGAGGGGGGAAGCAGGGTTGATAGCCTGCTATTGCTAGCAACTACGGCAACGAAGGGTTGCTCACCTGCACCAGACTACTAACTAGTGGCGAATCTAGGATTTTGTCTCAAGGTATGTCGCCAAAAAATTTTCATATACAATTCGGTAAATCCATTTCAGCAATTCGGTAATAATTGTAAAATTGACAACATGATTCGGTATATATGCACTAAATAACACAATAAGGCTTAAATTCATGGATTAAGTTCAAACCATCCACTAAGTATAGTATAAATAGTTCAAAAGTCATATCAATAATTGAAATAAGGCATAAAAGAGAACCAGAGACTTACAATGCTATTTCTGTGACTATTTTATTCGACGCTTTCGAAGGGACATAAATGTATTGATTATATCATCTTCATCAACTTCAAAGAAAATATCCCGCTCAATGAAAGTGACTAGACAGTCATCCAGAAGACTATCTCCCATCTTATTTCTTAACTTTGTTTTCACAAAAACCATTGCAGAAAATACCCTTTCAACACTTGTCGTTGCCACAGGTAGAAGCAATACCAATTTGAGGAGCTCATAAACCATATCGTACACTTTGTGCCTCTTTGTTTCAACAAGCTTAACTGAGAAATCAACAATATTGTCTAGACCTTTGAAGCTATCATCATGTCTCATGTCATCAATATAATTATCTAGCTGCAACTCAAGTTTGAGCAAATTATTATTTGAGAACTCCTTTGGGTAGAACTCAGCTAGTGTACGTAGCTTCTGTGCATCAAAAGAAGCAAATGACTTGGAAGGACTGAAGGCCGACATACAAGACAACAACTCCATATTAATCTCATCAAACCGATTATCAAGTTCTTGACTTATTTGATCAATGACACCAATATATGCTTCTCTTCTAAAGTGGTCATCATTGGTTTGCTTTTGGGCACGAGGTTTCCTTGCTGATTTTTCATAAGGAACATAATCACCATCCATAGCAGGAACTTCAACACCATGTTTATCGCAAAATGAAGTGATCTTCTCAAGAAAATTATCCCAACCATCAGACCTCAATTCTTGCATTCTTTTCTTTGCCACATTACCAAGTGATATTGCATTAAGAATATCTTGGTCCCTTCTTTGCAAACACTCAGATAACTCATTTGTATATTCAAGAATAATATACATTAAGTGTGCAAAGAAAACAAACTCAAAGTTCTCAAATGCTCCGGTCACAAAATGTATTTTGGTCCAATCATCCTTATATGCAGGATCATCCCCAAGATCAACCAGTACATCATGGATTGCTTCATACATAGTAATGATGCTGCATACAGTTTTGTAATGAGATCCCCATCGAGTATCTCCAGGCCTAGGCAAACCCATCTCTTGATGTAATCCAGTTCCAGATTTAATTTCACCACAGTCAAGTGCTTTCTTGACATTCTCAAGCCTAGCATTTCTAAGCATGTCATGACACTTACAGGAAACTCCAACAATATTCAACAAGATAGATATTTGATCAAAAAAAGTCTTGCAATCAGTATATCCCTTGGCAACAGCAACAAGAACCAATTGGAGTTGATGAGCAAAACAATGAATATAATAAGTAGAAGGTGATTCTTGCATGATCAATGTTTTCAACCCTTTAATATCTCCTTTAATGTTGCCAGCCCCATCATATCCTTAACCACGGATTTGAGTCATAGTCAAGCCATGACTAACAAGTAAGGCTTCAATTGCATCCTTAGGTGATAAAGAGGTAGTATCATGTACATGAACAACTCCAATAAAATGCTCACATGGCCTTCCCAATTTATCAACATAACGCAAGCAAAGAGTTAGTTATTCTTTATGTGATATATCACTAGACTCATCAGCTAAAATTGCATAGGGCTCATCACTAAGTTCTTCAATTATTTTCTTTCTAGTTTCTAGGGCACAACAGTGAATAATTTGCTTTTGTATGTCTGGGCTAGTTAAGGTACAGTTACCTGGAGCATTGTCCAAAACATACTTCTTCACTTCTTCACTATTTGCGGCAACAAATTTCAAAAGTTCAATGAAGTCCCCTCTGTTGCTAGATTTCTCACTTTCATCGTGTCCACGAAACGCCAACCCTTGATGCAAAAGAAACTTGATACACCTAAGTGAATAAGTCAACCTTTTCTTATAAAGATGAAGATCCTCATCACTCCACTTCTCAATATGATAATCAATTGCTACCTTGGGATTTATAAAGCCAATGTATCTCTCTTGAGCTGCAATATGTGCCTTAAAATCCATATGTTTGCGAAGTGCTTTCTCTCCTATATTCCAATTCTTCCAGCCATCAACAGTAAATGTGTCTGACCCAGTACCCTTCTTGAACAAATAGCATATGAAGCAAAACACATCATCCTTCTTAATACTATACTCAAGCCAATCATTATTATACATCCAACAATAGTTGAATCCCCGATCCCTATCTGAAATCTTTCTTTTTGAAAAATCATGTGCAAAAAGTTTGAATGGACCTTTAATAATATATGCTCTTCGAATTGCATCTTGATCATTAACAGGATATTTTAGAATAGGATGTCTTTCACCTGGATCATGTGGAAGGCGATTGGTGTCATAAACTCATGGCAGTGAAGACGGTTGTGGCGGTGGCATAGGATTTACAATTTCCTCAACTACTCTCTCATGAATCTGCTCTTCCACCATAGGTTCAATCGGATCAGGATTAGAAGTAGCAGCAGCTGCCGCAACCTTCTTCTTTGTTGCATGCTTCTGAAAAAGAGATGCAATGTCCCCGTTTCTCTTCATAACTGCATAAATATTACAAAGAACACAATGCCAAATAATTAAATAAATTGCGCTTGCACGATTGAACTCTCTCATGCGATTATGGATCACTCACATGATATGAGTACTGAACAAAAGATCAATCAAGATCGGCTCTGATGTTGAGAAAAATCCTCCACCTCGCTGCGTGATAGATGATTCTATAATTTTAGCGCTAAGCAATTAGCAATTAAAGTACACATGAATTTTTTTAAAAAGCCAAAGAACAAAGATTGAATCTCACCAGAACAATTGTGATCACAAATTCGCCTAGATGCCGCCGGTGGCCGGTGCCGCCGTAGCCCGTAGGGCAGCGCGTAGGCCAAACAGGACACGAGGTCGGAGGTCACGAGGACGACAATGACGGCAAGATCAGCAATCGCCGCGGGCGACAAACCGACGCGCGTGAAGATCCGTATGACCGTATTATGGTATTAGCGTCGGCGTACTGGCGTAGGGCAGGGCGAAGACACGAAGTCGAACCGCCTCGATCCGTAATTCCGTATTGGCCTTGTCCTGGGATCCGTCTCATTCATTTGGGCCTGGGCGCTGGGCTCGACGCCGCTTTCGCGATCTCGCGGAGACGCGAGTCACGGCTCGCCTCTCGCCATGCGCCGCTAGCACGCTCGGGCTCGGCCGTCGAGGGACTCGGTATGCAAAGAAATACTGAATATATACTTGCTCTCACGCAGGAATTGCAGCGTATGCCGGTGCATACCCGGCATACCCTGTAGCTCCGCCACTGCTACTAACACAAGGACGCCGCATGTGCTGTGGTGCCTACGCCGCATCCATGCCGCCACCCACCAGGTCCTCGACACCCACCTGCAGGTTCGCGCCGCCCGTCCCACCGCAGAAACCGGATGGTCGCCGCACCGCTTTGCTGAGTCGGCAGCGGCCCACGCCCTCGGCCGCGCCAGTGCGCGCTTTTCTTTTT